CGCCACGGCTGAGCACCACCACCCACCGGCTGGGAATGCTGCCCACTGCACCTTAGCAGGGGCTTCCACTTTGGGCTTGGCCCTTCCAGCCGGGAAGCGGACGCCCAGTGCTCCCGGCTCAGCGTGGGGCTTGGCAAGCCTCTCCCACCCGACTCTTCTGCCGCGCGTGGCCAGGACAGGCCACCTTCAACACGCCTATCTGTCCGCCCGTGAAATGTTGAAACCAGAATGGAGAAGGCGAGCACACAAATGCGCCTCCCTGGAAGGCCACGGCTCCTCTGGCCCAAAGGGCCTTTCCCCTCCTCTTGCTCCCACAGCCTGCTCCACACCATCCACTCCTTCTCAGGCTGCATGCTCTCCTCCTGAGGGCCCCCTTCTCAGCGGAAGGTGCTCGACACTGAACCAGCGACAAGGCAGGGCTCTGCCCTGGGCTCGGAACCTCCCTTGGCCTGCCTGCAAGAGATCCCAGAGACGGGTCCTCTGGGATCCTTCATGAGCCCTTCTAATAAGCGCAAGGAGCACCCCAGGCTCCTCTCGTAGGCTTGCTCTGGCTGAACAATCCCTTTCAGTCTGATAACGATCTAGTAAGCCAACCCGCAGATGATCCGAAAGCAATCCCAGTACAAGCCCATTAAAATATGACAGATGCCAAAGGGAAAGCAAGGAGTGGTGAGCATTAAACTAGGGATTAGTGCCTTTAGGAATAATTGGGTGGGGGCAGTGCCAGGGAGGCTGGAGGATCACGTGAGCCTGTGTGGGTGTCGCCCACCCCCCCAGCACGCCCCTGCTCCTCTTTGGAGATCTGGCTGCTCCTTACAGTGATCAAGAGGCTTAGGGAGTTTTTGGCAAGCGCTGCAGGCCTCTCAGGCTGGCCAAAGCCTCTCCACTGCCTCCCTCACCCACTCCTTTACCTCTTTTTGCAAACCGGGTGTGAGGCAAGTAAGGAGGGATACCTTCCTTGAGTCTCCACCTTCTTATTTCAGTCATTTCTTAAGCAGGCCTTGATGCCTGGGGACATTGGTCAAACGATGGCGGAGGCTGCTGAACCAACGTCGAGGTAGCCGCAATTCCCTGACTCCATCCTGAATGCCATTCTAACCCCAGTGCATATTCGATCAGAGGCTTTGCATTTTCCCTTTTGCATGGAAAGCCACGTGCATTTTCAAACGCATGTTTCCAAAGGCATGCATCCAATGTGTACATCTTGGAACGGGGCACATTCCTCCCCCACGCATTAAAAGCTCTTTCAAGGTTATGCTGCTATTGTTTTTCTTCTGAAATGCTGTCAAACACATTTTTTTCACTTTGTGATTTCGAAAAGTTTCCATCCAAATCTGTGCTCAGTCCAGAGGCTGTGAACTGAGTAAACCCTGGCCAGAAAGGAACGACAATTAATTTCCCACACTTCTTGCCCTCGCCTAGTTTTGGTTCCTTTCAGAGGCATCAGGAGAGTGGTGCAAGCGAGCCTGACACCCAGCATTCCTGTCTTGGCCCCGCAAGGCAGACACAAACCAGACACGAACCCACCTTCATGCATGTTCCTCACCTGTGAATCGTGGGTGAACGCTTCTGTTTGGTCATAAGGGACCCCCCTTCCTGCCCTCTCTGCCAAAGCACAAATCCAAATCTAAACTACAGTTGCTTTCCACGCAAGACCAAAGCTCATCCCATGGAGTCTAGAGCATTTTTCCTTCCACGTTCCAGCGCAGCACTCTGAGCACCATATCTGACCGGCTCATGTGCAGTTGGCTGACTTGTTTAGCTTTTCTGAATTCCCAGCGAATGTGGCCTCCACTGACCCCTAATTCCGTCTTCCTTCACTGAACCTTTCTGCTCTTTCTTCGCAACCCATCAAATGCCTGGCAAGGGTCAGCTTCCCACCCGTCCAAAGGACAGTGAACTTCCACCCTGCCTTCCGGTTGTCCCCGCTGCATGCTCACTTGGGTGCCTTCATGTTCCACACCTCATCTCTGCAAAAAACAACCTTATGCTTGGCTGCAAAGTCAAACATGACTTTCTTTCAACCCACTCCACCTCCTCCATGGAGAAAGAGGCATACAATCTGGAGCTGAAACTAATTGAATTTTAATGAGAGGAAGTTGTTCTTTCCACTGAAAGAATGTTGGAGGAACATTTTTAAACTCTCTCCTCCCCTTTAGGCCATGAAGTGACACCATAGAAAGTTGGCAGCTTATGTGAAGGCTCATGGACTGCGCCGCTTTGCTTATCATGGCCCTCTGTCACATGACAAGTTAAGCCTTTTTCAGGCTTAACTTAACTGAGCGTGGCCTAAACTTTCTCCCCGCCCGGCACACCTTCAGCTGAAAGCTGTCAGTGGATCCTGAAAGCAGTCAGAATCCTAAAAATACTCCCCTTGGGGTAAGCATTCCCAGCTGGCCAGGTCAGCTCACAATTCTTTTGAAATTTTCTTGTGAAAAACCACAGATGAGTTGGGGATCAGGAGGTGAGTAACACCAGCCTGCTGCTAGTTTCTGCTCAATCTGCATTCATGTTTGCACTCAATGTTCATTTTACATGAATGGGAAAATTGGGCAAAAGGAATTCCCAAACATGTGCACATTTCCACAGCTGCATACATTTACCCCATAAAATGTGGGGAATTTAAAATAGTGCAGGTCTTTAAAAAGTGTACAAGATAGACAAAGAAAACTGTGCAAACCAAATGCAAGCACATGTTTGAGAACATGCAAACTTTCTTGGCAGATATATTCTGCTCATGCTCACATCTGGGGTTGAGAACAGGGCAAGCAGAAACAGCACTCTGGCGCATTGCTAGGATGTACAAGGTGATTCGAGGGGCCACTGATATGCAAATACAGCAGCTCGCAATTCAAGAATAGCCAAAGCAGGGGTGCTTTCCATTTCAGGCGGTACCAACATTGGCATAATCCACAGGGTGAGATGCTGGGCTGGAGAGGTGGAGGGAAATGCGGGGGGGGGGGTTGATAGCATCAGCCCACAGCATGAGGGGCAGCCCAGAAGCTCCCATTCAGGGGAAACACATAAACAGAGCGAGTCAGAAGGGACCCCCCAGGCCACCTAGAAGTTTTCCTGCGCCTTTGGACTTCAGCAGCAGTCCTCTCCAAGGCGGACGCCACCCTCCCCAGACCGTCCCATACTGGAAGCCCCCTCCAGATGCACATGCGTGTATTTCTGCAGGCAAGAAAAAACATTTGGCAGATGCCATCTGCCCCTTTCTTGCTGCAGGAAACGTCTGCAGCAGAACATTGGTGGAAAAAGTCCTGGGGCCTGGCTGATACTTGACAGCAGCCTCTTGGAAAGGAATAAGTCTTGCTTTGGAGACAGTGATGAAAGCTGTCAACTGGAGTCCCGGTCCCTGGCCTCGATATCTGGCTACACAAACCTGACAGTCCTCACATAACATTGTCAAGCAGGGAGAGTCTTGTTGCAGCATTCCAAGCTGCAAAAGAAGGCACAACTTCTTCCATGGCATCTGTTTTATTGCTAGGCAGCCCAAAGCATAGTCCTCAACGTCATCATCACCACCTAAGAAGGCGCTACCCGCTGGCAGAGCCAAAGTCCGTGCCCCTTTTCTTTTGACCCAACCAATGATAAATACAGAAGCTGGGCAGCCTGATCCATGGCTTGCTGGGCCCAGTTCAAGGCTCTGTATTATGAGCTGTGAAATTCCCAGGAGGCTTAGCTACCTTAGTGAATCCCATCACCTCTGAAACAAGCCAGTTCCCAAACATTTGGGATCGGGGGGAAATCTGGACTTTTGACAGTGTCCCAGGGCTGTTCTCTGGCTACAGTGGAAGGGCCTGCCCCCATCCCTAAAGTAATGTCCGGAGGGCACATGGCTCATCAAAACACATTCACTTCCTGGAAGTCAAACCAGTGAAAATAAAGGAAAAGTCAAGAACCTACAAGGCAAAAGTTGGGTCCCGACTCTAAAAACCAAACCTCTCAAACTGAACAATGGGGGCGGGGTTGCTTGAGGACACCCCTTCACTTGTCAGCATGTTAGGCTCACAGCTGATAACTTTCTTCTCTAAACACTTCCTGTGAGCAATTAAGAAGCAGGAGAGGTGAGCCTTCTCTTGACAGGCCCCCAGGAAGCTGTATGGGTTTCCATGGCCACTGTGCCAAGAGCATTGGATGGGCCTTCCCCAGGTAACCAACACTGGATTTTGAACATGCTGAACTCTCTGGCATAAAGAGTCCAGATGAGGCAGGGGAAGCCACGGCAAAACCAGGCTGATCAACATGGAGTAAAGAAATGCTGGAAAAATGGAACCTGATGGAAACGGGGGCTTCCTGCCATTTCTCCCCCCTGAGCTGCTACCAGAGGGACCAAACACCAAGGTGGAAGCCTCTAACACATTGCATCGAGACACTCAGAAACAGACCCAGTGCATTCCACACAACATGGGCAAATGACACAAGGAGTCACAATCCAGGCCCTGGCACTCCCAGACCATTTTAAGCAGGAGCAGAAGAATTGGGTTTTTCAGACCGACACATGTGGATTTCCCAGAACAGCTTCTCCACACTAACAAATACGAGGGAATCGTCAGAGAAAGTGTCTCTCTTCCTTTCTCTCATTCAGATCCTAATTGTAGGGGTCGCTTGCTGCTGTTCTACCGGAGCAGTCTGTTCCTGTTTAAGGTTGCTCTTGTCTTCTCCAGCAGGTAAATAATGGGTAGGGCCAGGCCAAAAGGCTAAGTGCTCCCTCCCTGGGTTTTCACTCATGGGCAAGAACACCAACACAGGAGAAGAACAAATGGCCACCTGTCAGACTGGCACCTGCTCTGAAGAAAGAACAGCACGGAGCAATGGCTGGAGACCAGCAAATGGGGAACACTCACGACCCAGGAGAAGATACTATGGCGCTGATACCACCAGTGGTCTTAATGCAGACATGGACTGCCCACTATTTCCGGCCCAGAACATGCTTTCAGAAGATGCAGATGCCACTGGAGAGGCCTTTCCTGCACCCCAACCTCTTTTACCCTTACCTCAAAAACCTCTTCGTCCAAGATCCTGGTTCCAAATACGATGATTCCATTGACATCAATGATGGGGTGCTCACTCCTTTGCAGCGTCTTGGTGATCGTCTTTGTACAATCCAAAACCAAGGTGACATTCTTCTTGTACACACTGATGGCTATTCGGTGCCACCTTGAGAAGAACAAGGACCGCCAAAACTTAGGAAGAGCCTTGGGATTGATGCATGCCTGAACTAATTCGCAGACCACCCGTCCAAAGAGGCAAGCTACCGGAATGTCCGTGGGCCATAGAAAGCAGGGATCGCTACTGCTTGTTCCACGGCCACTCTTATGGGGAAAGGGTGGGTCACGGATCAGGAAAATGCAGGCTGCTGTGGCAAAAAGCCCTGGGGTGGCTTCCATACCCTACCCCTGGATGACATGGAAGCACTGGGCTGGGTGGCTTGGGAACGACAGAGTTGGAGCAGAGCAGATGTGAGCAATGTATGGGCCACAGGATGGATGCAGGACTCCTGCTACCCCCTCCCCCCAGATCTGCCTGGTGGGGGGGAAACAGTTTGCTGCTGTTTTCCCGCCACAAGGCCAAAAAGCGAGGCAATTCAGTGTTCTGAACAGGGCACATCTGCTCTTCAGCAAGGCTGTCAGCCCTGTGCCAGAGCGAAGTACGGCCCTCAGTGGCTTCCACCAGAGCAGCTGATCTCTGGGACCCTGGAGGTTGTTGGGAGCTGGAGCAGATGGCCCAAGGCTGCAGCTTCTTTACATACATGGACCCCACTCCCCTTTCAAAGGATCTCTGAGCTGGCCATACTGAATACCAAAGCTGGACAACCCTGGAACATCTCCCAGCCAGTAGCTCCAAAGCGCACTCACTTGCCATCTGACAGGTTGATGCCCCGGAAAAGAGGGTACTCCTCCGGGCCTGGCTTCCCAGTGTGGTCCTCATACATGAATACAGGAGACCTGCCCATCTCCACACCAATCTGTTGGATGCCTTGTTCATTGTAAATGGACAGCAGGAAGAACTGTCCCCCCTTCTTTGCTTTTACGGTGGTCAGGATAGAGAAGTCTTCTGGAAATGGAGATGCTGCAACCAGAAGAGGGAAGAGGGGAAAGAGGCTGCTTCATTCATTCGTTCATGTGGAAGCGCAGGCCAAGTCCAGTCCTTGGGGGTGGCACGGGTCACCCCAATGCGGGGTCTCAGAGGAGCTTAGTCACCTGCCCTTCCCCAGACCACAAATCACGGTGGACGCTAGCAAATTCCACCTTCCTTCCACCCAACATCCTAGAAGGTCGAGGTGCCTCTTCAGCACCTTCCTGACTGGTGGTGGGCTGGCTGACCCAGTGCAACAGCCTACGGTGAGTTATGTAGCCCACGGTGACGCAGGTGAGGCATATGGGCGACCAATTTGCATGCCCCGCTCCAACTCAGGGGGTAGCGCTGCAAGCCAACCAGGTGTAGGCAACAGCCTCGCTTCTCCCAAAGGCAGCATTCCAGGATATGGAATCTGGAATCTGAACTGGAAAGAGAGGTGGGGCTGGAAGTCTTAGTCTGAAATATCAAGCCAGGGAGCTTCAGAATAAGGCCACTGCCTTTTCAGGGGAAGACACTGTGGAACGGGGGGACCAGATGGGGAAGGACAGAACTTAATCAGGCCTGTTGTTCAATGATGCAACAAAAGAGCTGGTCAGTTGAGTTACGCCCAGCATTCATGTCCTCTGGCCTATAAGCAACAGGAACCTCCATGAGGATGGCCTAGAAGAAAGCGGGGGATTCAGTTTGGGATCAACTTCTAGCATGAGCTGTACTCTTTCTCTCTCTAACAAGCTGGCTCTTTAACTTGATTAGTGCTTTTGCTTATAACCTCTACATTACCCACTTTGTATCATAGAACCAGTCCTGGCTGGCCCTCTTTACCCTAATAAAAGGCTGGAGTTGGAGTTGATCTGCTGGGAGGGAAAAGAAGTGAAGTTGGAAGCACAGGCCAGTTCTTGACATCAGCACAGCATGGATTATGCAATCTACATGCAACCCTAAAATAGACCTCAAGTTTGTGCAACACAGCAACTCCTGATTAAGAACTGGACGTGCGAAGTGCCTTCCACTGGTGCTGTGAAGTAAATAATCCATGCTGAGTTGTGCTGCATTGTACAAGACAGGCCACCAAGAGCTTTAAGCTAAAATGTGCCACAATCTCAAGCATTTTTGGTATGTTGGTCCCAACTCCTTTGCTTTTGCCCACCACTGGAATGCGTCACCTACAAACTTCTCTGAACCTGAATCTTGCCCTCAGACATCCCAGAAGACCAGAGCCACCACCTTCCTTTTGGGCCCTATTCCTGGGCCAATGCGTGGAAGCCTCTCAGGCAGAAATATGGCAAACAGAGCCTTCCCATTCCTGCCTCACCATACCAAAAAAGATCAGCATGACGGTCCTCTTAGTGGATTCGCTCTCTCTCCCTGCCTCCCACCTCCACCCTAGAAATTCCCGTCACATCCCTTCAAACAAAATCACTTTCTTTTTTAATGTTGTGCTGTGCTGGCAGTGGTGAAGAAGCAGAATGTGAAGACCCTCAAACTACCAGCTTAGGGAAACAAAACCTTTTAATTAGCCCAAAATACAGCATGTGTTGAGCTGGAAAGCTCTCATGCAAAGCAACGTGTCCTGGCCTCTTCCCGTCCCAACACCCTTGGTTACTCAAATCCCCAAGCACCATTTCCAGTTGCAAACTGCTCTGCAATTACTTCTGTTATCTTTATCTCTCCATCCATTCATTTGTTTGTTGGAAGCTGAAGCAACATCTAGTCATTTGGATGATGTGTGTTATTAAAGAAAATAGGATGGAAGGCCTCAGAAAGGCCCGGGAAGCCATCCCAGTGACATATCCAAGGTCTAAATTATACCCTTCCCTTTCCAGTGGTTTTGTACACCAGGCATAATTTGTGCCAGGTCTCATCTTCCAAACCCCTTTCCTTTGCCAGCAGGGTTTAGCCCCACAATACACAAACAACAGAGGTGTTTGTCAGAGTGACACAGAGACGCCATCCGTCATGTGTGAAATGTTGCTAGCCTTATCCAAACACTAATTTCCTTTAAGTTCCTCAACCATTTCATTCAGGCGTGTCTGCTTGAAATTATGCACTAGCTCAGATTTGGTTGCTGCCATGACCCCTGCCCCTTGGTCCCTTTGAAATACAGCTGAGGCTTCCGGCCACTTCTGCATGGATAGGCCAGCCAGTTCTTCAGGGTTCTCCTGGCCCAAGACACAGCCCTACCATCATTCCTTGGCTTAAAGATCGTGCCCTGGCAGAACCTCCATCGCCTCAGTTTGCAGAAGCCTCAGAAATCAAAAGCAGGTGAGGGCCTTTCAGCACTCCAATTAACTTCTCCAGGAGTGATGGAGCTGGCTATCTGGGGCATCTTGTCAGCCTACATAATGCTGCAGTTCAATTAACTTTAACCCCCTGCTGAGACAATGTTCTCCTATAGCCCCCAGGGGAGAGAGGGAGTTCCAGCCAAGGCAGGCCTTGGAGCTCTCCAAGGTCCTGCTTTCACCCTGCTTTGACTCCGCTACGAGCCTTTCCTGCAGAGCCTCAAGCGACCAAATCTCAGGATGAGGCATGTCATGATAGGTAGGGCTTCTCATGACCCAAGATGCAATTCCAGGACCTGCTCAGTCCCAGAGATCAGCCCTGAATGGTGTGAAGCAAACGCAAGAGCACCACCCATCCTCCAGATCCATGAATCACATCGTAGGCTCAGAAATATATATACTTCCAGTACAGATTGTATTTAAGTCTATGTCTGCTCTGGAAAGTTAAATCCTGACAAAAATGAATTGAAATAGATCCTTCATGCATCCCTTGTTTAACCCACGTGTGTTCCACTGAGGAATTACGACATTGTACATGGAGGAGCAAGCAGGCTATCTTCGGCATTTAAGCCTGGTGGGCTTATTGTGGCTCTCTCTAGCACATGGATGAGCCATGCTGTAAACTTGCCGTTCCATTGTGTGAAGTGGTCTGCCTCCATCTCCACATTTTAAGGGGTCTTGGCACCTGATCATAACATAGTGAACACCCTCTAGGAGATTGTGGCTACTGCAAGATAGCACAATGCATGTTGGATGTAGGTGGAGCTGAACGAAGGAATTAGGCTGGAGACAGAAAGTGGATTTGGGCGTGGGGTGTGTGGGACAGCAAGAAAAGGACCTCACGAGGGTGGTGCAGGCACCCTCAGGAATAACAGCACAAGCCATCTTGCACGAGACCGCCACTGCTTCTGTCCACATCATCGGTGCATGCATGGCTTCTTAGCACTTTAATTGTTTATTTAGAAACACAGAAACAGAGCGAGTCAGAAGGGGCCTCCCTTCCGACCCCCGGCCCCCCGCTCAGGACATGCCTACCATGTGCATGGCCAATATTTAAAACATTTCTATTCTGTCTATAGCAGAATAGGTCTCAAGACAGCTCACAACGGTAACAGCACAATTAAAATACAGTGTAAAATCATGTAATAAAATTCCCATCCTAAAAACCCCACCAGACTTTAAAATACTGGGTGAATAAAAAGGTTTTAGTCTGGTGCAGAAATGAATAAACTGTCAGTGCTGGGTGCACCTCTCCGGGGAGTGCTTGCCTTGTCTGGGGCCACGGGGCCTTAAGGGCCACGTCTTTGGGGAAGTGATGTGGTTCCGCAAGAAGCCGCGGCTTTGCTGCAGAGCCCATGATTGCATGGAGAAGGTTCTAACAGCAATTTGTGGTATTTCCCAGCAGGACTTGGAAACACACTGCCCTGAAACTCGAGACCTGCTGTCCCTTTGTGTAGGCAACTTTGGGGAAGGTGGATTCCAGGCACAGCCTCTCCAAGTACAACTCAGAAGGGCCACCGACTCAAACCCTGCACAGCTGGCAGCAGTTTGGATACTCAACTTGGGGCAATCCAGCAAGGTTTCCTATGTGCCTGCAGACACTGCACTTGGCTCCATCGAGCTCCTGGCCTCTCCCTGCCAGGGAACACTTTGCTTGGCCCACACATCCGCCATGGACTTCAGTGCTTGGGCAAGAGAGCTGCGGCCACTCCGTGCCTGCCATCCCCGTCGCAGGAGGGGCAAAGGATCAGGACAAGGATGTGCCGGGCTTTCTTAACTGAATTCTGAGTCAAAGCCTTACCAGGGTAGAGCTGCTTGGTCGGGGCGCTCAGTTGCGCATCTTTTGTTACTCGGTAAGCCACATCTGCTCCTTTGGAAGACCTTCTGCTTGTGCAAAAACCCGTTGTTTTTGTTATGCCATCGGGCAAATTGTGAAAATCTAGTACCTTCAAGAGATCCGCAGGCTCAGCTGAAACGAAATGAGAAGCCAGGATTAGCAGCTGGAAAGGGGTGGCCAGGCTCCAACTGAGCCAGCTTGCCCATTAACAAAAACACAAATTAACCTATTACATCAACTAGATTTGATTCATGGATGCCAGCAATGAAGAGGAGGAGGACGAGGAGAAAAGAGGAAGAGACCTAATGAAACATGGCCGATTTGGAGAGAAGCAAACTCAAACCCTGGCAACCCTATCTGTGTGTGTGTGTGAAAAGAAATGTTTCCTTCACAGTGCAGTTTCACCTCCAAATATATGGGAGTTTCTAAGCTTTTCAGATTTTATTCTTTAAATGTGTAAAATAGTCCAACCAGTTTTCCATTCTACATTCCTGATTTTATGCATCTGTGTTGATGCTGAACATTTTTCTTAAAAGGCGAAATAACTGTTTAATGGAATGGATGCATCTACATATTTATTTATTTTTTGCAGAGCCAAAACACCCAAAGCAGCAAACACAGTATGAGCAGAACCGGGGACAGACTGTCGAGTGACAGGGCTTCCTGGAGGGTTGGAAGGCAGGCATTAACACCTTGCCCAGTACCTCAGGCTCTGCTTCCTAACCCACAGGGTATCTGGCTTCATTCATCCAGCATCACCTCTTGAGCAAAGCTCTCTACATTTAGCCAGCAGTGTGTGGACTCTAAAAAATCCATTTCCTCTGTGTTTCATAGATCGTTGGGCACCCCAGTCCTGTCATCTGCTCACTGATAGGATTGGATTTTGTGAAAGCCAATTCATATATGTTTGCACTTCTGAAACTGTGCAAACCCCACCAAATTGTCTATTTTTAAGCTTCAGTCTCTGAAGAGCTGAACATTATTCATCTTTTTTATTTTATGATTGTAAGTCGCCCCAAGGCTTATGCGATGGGGCGGCATATAAGTTGTTTAAATAAATATTCACCTATTTTTCCCATGACTGAAATACTGTAAAATTATGGAAAATTTTAAAAATGGTCCACAAGTCTGCAGGATCTGCATGACTCAGGAAAAACTGGTCTACTGAAAATCTGCTTGTCAACACCTTGGGAATGTGGATTCATTGGAGTCCACTGCAGATTTCTCCAACTTCCCTACCTGCAATTGTATCAAATAAGCCGAGATTTCTATGAATCCACCATGCAGACTTCTCCCCAAACTAAAATCTGGGAAGCAGGGAGCAAACTTGAGCAAGACCAGTTCTGAGAACACGGGGTCATTTTTAAGATGGCCTGCTGGAGGAGGAGTGAAATAATTGCTTGTTCTCTGGTCCAGAGATCTTCTCAGCAGCCCTGCCTGTCTGTTGACCAGAGCAGCAAGCAGCTCACTCTCGTTCTCTCTCAAGCAGGATCCCAGGGAAGCAAGATCAGACCTGGACGGAACAACTTTCCATGCTGTCTCAGCAGCCAGACAGTGTGTAAGCCAGAAGTAATAATGAAGCAACCACTCGAAGGGAATGGAGAACAGCTGCAAGCGAGGGCAATTAACTACCCCCATGGGGCCAAATCACTTTGCTTGTTTATTTTGCTGAAATCATTTCTATCCCGCTTTCCCACACTGCAGCATGCTTAAGGCATCCCAAATCAAAGCAATGACAGATACTAAAATAGAAGCCCTGAAGAGGTGCTTTTTGTGACTTCCAAGGAATGATGGCAGATGGATACCTGAGTGCCGAGCAAGAGAGTCCAGATGGGGAGAGGGGAACATGCTGCACGCAGATACATATGCAAAGGCTTGCTGGACTGAAGATGCAGCTCCCCGACCCCACAAGTGTGGGTCCCAACAGTGGCACTGGCCACACAGCAATTCCAGGGAACCACCATCGCCAGAGACGCAAGCACCGCATGGGCCTTGGGCAGAGATTTGGCAGGAAAAATGAAAGATGAGGCAGCCCTTCGTGGCAGAGGAGCGGGACATTTTTCAGCCCCGGGCTGAACCCCATTTTGGAGAGCCTCTTTGGGGCCACATCCTAGAGTGGGTGGAATACCTGAGCTCTCAGCTCCTGCTGCCAACGGAAGAGAATTCAGCCTTTCAGCTTTTATGATTTTCAAGCATGGTAAGCATTTTCTGAATGAAGGGAGGCAAAAACTGCACCGCAGCCAGGAAACTACCCAGTACGGGGATGGTGCGGCCCCCTGAGGAGTCCCAAGGGCTGTGCAGGGACGGTGGGCAGAGTCGGACTGGCCTCCGGGGTCACATTGGCCCATCATCTGCAAAACAATCCCTCCTCCCAACTCAACAATTAAAAACCCAAACAAAGAAAGTTGCACCAAATGTGATGAAGTGCGGGACGGTTTGGGCTTCAGTTTACATAGTCATTGCTTTGACAGATGCCGGCCTGAAGAATAAAGCACCGCCACCCCAGTTTTCCAGAAATAGATACAGGAACTCTGGTCAAGTATCCACACTGCGGAAGGCCAACCGGTTTCTCCAGGGCGTGCCCCTTCTGTGCAGCCGCTCTCTTTGTCCCCAGTGCTCCCAAGGCAAGGCTGGGGGGCTGCTGGTGCACGGGGGGCACGGAGCGCCCTGCCCCAGAGGACCCTCCCCCACGCTCTGGGGGACCAGTCCCTGCATGGAGCGCCAGCGCCAAGGAGCCGCCGGCAGCTTCTCCGGGCCACGTGGTGCCCTGAGCAGGGCAGCCGGCAAGCGGGCCCTCGCCAGAGGCCGCTCCGCCCAAGCACGGAGCCTCCTCGTGAGCAGAGGAGTGCTGCAGAGCCTCAGCAGAGCCGCGCTCGGGTGGCCCTGCGGGGACAGACTCTGCGCAGCGCTTCCTAACGAGCAGCGGCAGCACTGTGGCACTCAGGAGCGACGGCACGCTGCTGGCGCAGAGAAGCAGGCGAGCAGAGCACAAGAAGCAACGTGGCACTCAGAAGGCCTCGATTGCCAGGTGCGATGGCACCCAGGAATGGGGATGCCGGCCTTCCCACTTCCTTCTCCCAAGGCTGAATTGTGCGCAAAAAATTCAAAAATGGGCAGTTTTGGGCTTTGGTAACTGTGGAGGACCTGCCCACTCCTCAGATGCGTGCCCCATTCCCAGTCCACTGAACTGAAAAAAAGAGGGCAGCCACGAGGAGGAGGGAGAAGGCTGATACTGAAATCCGTGAATGAGTTAGCAGAGCTAAATAGAGCCAAAATAGAGGAAATGGAATTAATAAAATAATAAATCATATATGCACATGCATGCGCAACGACAATCTAAAATTAGAACATAAACTATTAAAATAAGTAAATAAATATCTCACATTTGAAAATCATGTCACATTGGGAAGGGAAGGGAAGGGAAGGGAAGGGAAGGGAAGGGAAGGGAAGGGAAGGGAAGGGAAATCTGGCCACACTGGCAACAACAGAAAACAACATTATTACAAATATAAAGAATTCACCTATTAAAATAACTGTTAAACAAATAATAAACAAACTATTGAATAAGTCTTTAGTTGGTGCCTGAAGGCCAAGAGAGGATGCCAACCAGAGCTCAGGTGGACTGAATTCCAAAGTCGGGGAGCTATGCCAGAGCAAACGCTCCTCCTGGCAACTCCCCTCCCCTGCTTTGTTAGGGGGAGGAGCGCTGATGAAGGCTTCAGATGAGGCCTCAGCGAACGGCCGGGGGGCGGGGGCACATATGGGGAACGGCGCTCCCTCGGGCAACCGGCCTCCAAGCCGTTTAGGGCTTTGCATGTCCGTGTGAACATGTGTGCTTGCTGCCTCTCTTATTTGGATTTGGTGACCTACGGTGGCCTGACTGTTCACAGCCAGAGGGGTAGTGCTGAAAACACAATTTGGCTAATTACTAGCAGGAATGACTGAGGAGACACCAAGTACAAAGGCGGGATCTTGCCACGACTTATACATTTCCTCACAGGCCGAGCAGAAGCAAGTTTTCTTTGAAAGAGATGCCAAGCTGCTTCTCCTTCCCGCATAATGCCACCCACAGAGACTTGTCTGAAGTCTTAACGAACCGTATTTTCTGCTGGAAACGGCTCCACCCCACTGAGGACTCCACAGTAGAAATCCAAGGGCAGCATTTCCCATTGCAAAGAAGAAAGACAGCCCAGGGTCTCTAACCTGGGGTGCTGCGGAGGCCAACACCTTTCCAGGGCCAGCATCTCCATTTCAAGATGGCTGCCATGGTAGCCAACAATTAGGAACATAATTGTTTCTATAATTAATCATGGAAACCGGAAATCCACAACAGCATCCACCCCGCTGCCATCAAGAGCCCGAGCTGCCATCCGTCGGGGAGAAGGCCCTTCGGCCCTCTCCGCCCCCAGTGGAGCTTCTGGCTGGGCAGAAAGATGGTTGCAAATCAACCGAAGGCCACAGTCTCTCCCCTTCTTGGCACACAGGCAAAGAGGCCGGGAGTTCAGTGAAACGGCACATGCCGCTGACAGCTCGTGCCTGACGTGGGGATGGGGACATCAAGTCCATGTTCCTTCGCAAAGCGTTCGGGCCAAGCCTGGCGAGCCGGAGCCTGCGCCCGAGCCTGGGCCAACGCCAGCCCCCCCTCCCGGGGCTCTGCCCACTCCACTCAGCCACCAATCACTCCGCGGACTCTCAGCGTTTCGGAGGTCACACCCGAAGTCCAACAGGTTTGAACCTGCTCCCCTAAGAGCAGCTTTCCTGTAGCAAGAGCCTTCAGCGAAAGTGACCAGCGCTGCTGGCATTCTGGCCCTGCCCCATTGCCTTCGGCCCCAACTATCACAGGAAGGAAGGCCCCAGAGTGTCTCCGAATGGAATTCCGTCCTCGGGCTGCACGTGCTCCTGCGCCACCGGTGGAGGTTCAGAGCCCACCCCTTGGCCTCCCTGCATCCCTGAAAGGGAAAGAAATCGCCCGTGCAGCAACGGGACTGTGGCCCGCAGTCGGGGGGAAGGGCCAAGGGGGCACCATTCTGTGTCGCCAACCTGCAGCAGCAACCCCAGCCATTCGTGTCAGAGCCACGTGTTGTGGGGGGAGCCACATCTTCCTCTGCTGATTTTGGGACTTGTGGCTCCAG